ACAACATACTCATAACTTCTAGTATGTTTTTTTTTTAATAAACTTTCGGTATTATGAGTATCAAAGTTATTATGGGTATCAAAGTCTGTAATAGACACTTATGAGAAAAATAAGGCTTTATACCTGTTTGTACAAGTTTCATATTAGCGGGGCATTGATATTGTGAATATCGAAGTTAATGATATTAAAGAAGATATACTTTCATTTTTTTATGGAACGACAATCTAATCTACTCTTAATTTTATATATATTTCTAATTAGACTTAACCCTTAACTTCAAATAGAGAAAACAACATTTAATACCGTTGAATTAGAAAAAATATATATATAAAACCAAATATATTAGGTCTTCTTGAAAATATACATTTTTGCAAAATATATTTACTTGCGTCAAAAGAGACCAACAAATTAAAAGGGTTCAAAAAAGTTATGAACAAAAGGATCAATAAAGTTATGAACAAAAGGATCAAAAAAAGAGCGAAAAAGATTTGGTTGTCGTAATCCAAAAGACATTACAAAGTGTATTTCGTATGTGTGTAAATTCATTTTATTATTCGTATAAAGTGAAAAAGAAAAGAAAAACATTCCCAAAGAAATTTATAGTTTTTAGTTATTGTATATATAATAATTTTAAACTTATTTATCAAAAGCGTATTTTTATAAATATCAAGAACAACAATTCCAAATCACATTCAAGTTTTTGAAAGCTTTGCCTTCTACCCGCAATTCTCTTGGAATAGATGCAGCGTCTGTATCTATTGTAGTACAAAAGCTAAAACCAAATTTTCTAGCAGTGTGTTATTTGTTACTTTGTAATGTAGTATGTTTATCACGATGGTAACCAATTTTTTCCTCTTCATCTCAAGCAATTTATCTGACAATTTATTTCTTTAATTTTGTTTTGGTATAAAAAAATTATAGGATTCAAAATATCTTTTGATAAGTAAATTCAAATTATAATTGTTAGTAAAAATACAAATTTCTTTCGAATTACCGTCAATTCATACAAAATTCAAAACTTTCATAGGGTTAAAAAGTAAATGCTAAAAGCTTAATTTTATTTTAACGAGACTGATGGGTTTTGAGCATAACTAAATTCATATGTGATCATGCAACCCTAATTGCTTTGGATCTAAGTTTTCCATTATTGAACATACAAATTTGAACACCAAAGCAATAACCCTAGATCTAGCTCATGCAATTCGAAATTCACAATGAAAATTAGGGTTAGATGTTTACCTCTAATGGAGTCACAGACACCCAATGCAAAAGATGAGAGGGGAGAGGTGGAAAATCGGCTAGGGTTCTTCCAAAGAGCAGGGTTGGCCGAAAATCCAAGGAGAAACCTCCTTCTATACTTGTGGTTTTCAAGTGGAAACCATAATTTCCTTACTTAGGGCCAAAACAACTCATGGACACCCTATAAGAAGCCTTTGGATGAAATTCTATAGGGGTGGAATAATAAATTGGTGGTTAAAATGATTTTATTAATATATTACAAGTTTAATATATTATTTGGAAATCATATTATTAATTGATTATTAATCAGAAATTAATTTAAAATTAATTTTGGGATTAAAAGAACTGATTAATAATGCAAGGGGCTGTTTTGCAAATTTTTAATAGTTGTGAAACTGGGCTCTTGGACCCTTTGGATAGGAATGGACGAAATTATATAAGGTGTCCATGAGTTGCTTTGGCCCTAAGCAAGGAAATTAAGGTTTCCACTTGAAAAACCCTAATACCACAAGTATATAAGGAGGCTTCTCCTTGGATTTTCGGCCAACCCTCCTCTTTGGAAGAACCCTAGCCCATTTTCCACCTCTCTCCTCTCATCCTTTAATAAAAAAAGAATAGTTCTTTTTTGGTTTTTTCCTTGGAATGTCTATTTTATCATAATGTTAGATTGCAACATGCCTAATTAAAAGCAACCTAAATCTTTACTTTTCTATTATTCAAAAAATAGAAAAACGTAATATAACTTGATTACCTTTCCTTGCCTACCGGAACCTAATCATGCACCTTTTTGAAAAGTATTTCTAGACTTTCATGTGAAAAACAACAAAAAAAAGGTATTGAAAGGGATTATAGGAAAAACAAACCAAAATTTAGGTAAAATAATATAACAAATGACTTACTTTTTACACTTAGAAAATTCTCATTTCACCTTTGTCCTTCTTCTTGAAAATTCTCATTTCAACTTTATCTTTCTTCTATTTTCTTTCATATTACTATATTTAAAAATTTGTCTTTTAGTTGTTGAATAGGATCTAGTTGAGTATAACACAATTTTGATTGAGTTAAACACAACCTCTTTCAGACCCAATCTTTTTCAAACCCAATAAAAAACATGTCAAAAAACCCAAATCCTTCTAATTCGAATTATGATATCAAGGATATTAGACTAACTTGATACAACCCCTAATTATTTAAACAAAATCAATTTAAATTAATATAATAATGAATTAATAAATAGAATCCTGATCATCACCAATCATTGATGTTTTTTTACTTGCATGGCTGTGAGACATAGACCTTGTAAAGCTTACACGAGTTTCCATCTGTTCCCTCTTCTTTCTCCCACTATGCCTCTATTCTGCAACCCAAGCGCCTCCTCTCTATCTTTCTCTCTCTCTTAAACCCTCAATTCAACGGCGGGGATTCAAAATCTCCGGCGATCCGACGGCTGATTCACTCCAAGAAAATCATTCGATCTTGGTGAGTCGGTGTTTGATTTCTTGTTTCTTGAATCCATATGAACTGGGTTTTGTTTAATTTCTCGAAAAGCTCACTCTTTTACGATTTTTACCCTGTTTCTATAACAAACTCGACATGCAATGCATTTTTTGTCAAAAAACCTTGAAACTAATTCGAGTCTATGATAAATTAGGATGAATTAAAACGTGGGGTTTTGAAATCTTGGAGTAAAACAATACGACACAAGTGGTAGACCCCATAAATTATATGTGGATCCCATTCGTTCTCCGTATTATCTCTTTCTTTTAAGTTATAATCCCCCTTTTTTTGGGTCATCTGGTTTTCATTCTGTTTACTAACGATAATGAATCAATCCAATATAATTATTACGATCGGTGATTTAACTGTTTGTTACACTTATAATGTAGAAGAAGAAGAAGAAAAAGGGGACATTTTCGAGTTGCGTTAAGGTTATGCCTGGGAATAAGTACAACGGAAACTCATCTGTTCCAACAAGTCGTATCGAGAGGCTTTTGAGAGAAAGAGAATTAAGAAAAAACAGTAAAGCTTCTTATAGTAATGAAGCTAACAATGATGGAATTGGAATCGAGTATGGTGAGAATTTAGTTGAACAGTATCTAGAAGGTGCTTCTTCAGCTGCACGTGATGGGTGGGAAAAGCCCGATGGAGGGTTGTTTACACAGCGGTTGTTGGTGGTTGCTAATAGACTGCCGGTTTCTGCCGTTAGAAGGGGGGAGGAGAGTTGGTCTTTAGAGGTTAGTGCTGGTGGCCTTGTTAGTGCTCTTCTTGGTAAGTTTAATTCTTTTTTTTTTTTTTTTTTTTAATGGAATTGTGTGAAAAGAATGAAATTTTGTAATCTGTTTTTGTTTTGGTTGAATTGAAGGGGTTAAGGAGGTTGAGGCGAAATGGATTGGATGGGCAGGTGTAAATGTCCCTGATGAACCTGGTCAAAGAGCTTTGACCAAAGCATTAGCTGAAAAGGTAGTTTTGTGTTTTTGTTACACATTACATGACATGAATAGTTGTACAATAGATGACATGATACAACAAAAAAGGCTTTTTGGCTTGCATTTGTTACACAGTACATGACATGACTGATTTTAGCATGCATTGATTTGGTACAGAGGACATGACATGACAGAACATGTGGCATTGACATGAAATGAACAAAACATGTTGTCCTGTTTTTGGCATGTGTTTGTATGTTACATATGACATGACATGATAGAACATGTGGTACTACATTGGACTAGGTTAATGGAGCAAAAATGCATTTTTTGTTCCAAAAAGACAGAACAAGATGGGACATGGACTCATTCTCGGTCACTCTTATGTGCAAAAGACATAAATGCCCTTCTTATCTTCATCACTGGAATTTGGAAATACCCTTTGTTCGTCCAATCTAACTAATCTAGCCTTAAGAAACTTGGTTAACACTCTTTAGTATTATTTGAGTATTATTTATGACAAATTATTTATGATGTAGAGATGCATACCGGTGTTTCTTGATGAAGAAGTAGTGCATCAATATTACAACGGTTATTGCAACAACATATTATGGCCTCTTTTCCATTACCTTGGTCTTCCACAAGAAGATCGATTAGCCACAACAAGAAGTTTTCAATCCCAATTTGCAGCATACAAAAAAGCAAATCAAATGTTTGCAGATGTTGTAAACGAGCATTATGAAGAAGGTGATGTTGTTTGGTGCCATGATTATCATCTTATGTTTCTTCCAAAATGCCTTAAAGATCACAATAGCAACATGAAAGTCGGTTGGTTTCTTCATACTCCATTCCCATCTTCTGAAATTCATAGAACATTGCCTTCTCGCTCTGAGCTTCTACGCGCAGTTCTTGCCGCCGATTTGGTTGGGTAATTTCGTAATTTTGTTCCTTATAATTCTATACTTTTGTAGTTTTTTTCCAGTCAGTAAGTTATCTAGCAGGCCACTGTGTATCTGATTTTGCTACAGTGTGAGTGTGGGCCAGCTCAGGGGTTGTTGGAAGAATGACAGTTATGTCTTGTCATTGTACCAAGAATCTTGCTTTATATTTCTTTATTGTGATTTAAAAGAAACTTTTTCACATGTTGAGTATATCTTAATTTACTAGAATCTTTTTTTTTTTTTTTTTTTTCTAGTTTTCATACGTATGATTATGCAAGACACTTTGTTAGTGCTTGTACTCGTATACTTGGACTTGAAGGAACACCTGAAGGAGTAGAGGATCAAGGGAGGCTCACTAGAGTTGCTGCGGTAATTTTAACATTAATTATGTAAAATCTACTTGTGGGCCCCACTGTGTACCTGATTTACATCTGTCATGATTATTCATTATTTCTTTTTTGTATAATATTCATCATTGAACTGGTGGAATTACAGTTTCCAATTGGAATAGATTCAGATCGATTTATTCGTGCACTTGAGAATCCTCAAGTACAAGAACATATTAAAGAATTAAAAGAGAGATTTTCTGGGAGAAAGGTAATGTTACTACTATTAAAAATCCAAATCTTTTAAAAAAATTTGGAATCATAATAAATCTAAATTCCTTATAAAAAATTTGTTCTTTGTGGAAGGTTATGTTAGGAGTTGATAGGTTAGATATGATCAAAGGGATTCCTCAAAAGATTCTTGCATTTGAGAAGTTTCTAGAAGAAAATCAATATTGGCGTGATAAAGTGGTTTTATTACAGATTGCAGTTCCAACAAGAACAGATGTTCCTGAGTGTATGTTTCTAAAATATTTATATATATATATTTTTATATTTTTTAATTTCTTATAAAAAAAAATTTACAGATCAGAAACTCACAAGTCAAGTCCATGAAATTGTGGGCCGAATAAATGGAAGATTTGGGACTCTCACAACTGTTCCTATACACCATCTGGTTAGCCTTTTATTTTTTATTCGGTAAATTTACTGGAAATAGCAAACATATTTTACTCTTTTTACTAATATAGACAATTTACTTTATTTTTTTTTACATTTTCTTTACTCATAAAAGCAACATAATACATTTCCTTACTGATTATAACAATATGTAACAAATAAAGTACAATGCCTATATTGGTAGCAAAATGTAAGTACATTTCTATAATATGTAAAAAATAAAGTACATTGTTATTATTGGTATAAAAAAATAAAATACATTGCACATATTAGTATGTTGCTATTCTCTGCAATTTTCCATTTTAATTCATTGGCTTTTCAAATTTCTTTTAGGACTAATCAACTTTATTTTTTTTTCAACTTTTTAACCAATAAAAACACATAGAATTGAGAATAAGTTGACAGAATGTCCATCAAAGTTTTCATCTTTTTTCTTATTAATGTTTGGTTTTTATCAAGTTCTGAACAGCTTTATGTTATGTTTGCAGGATCGATCTCTTGATTTTCAGGCTTTATGTGCACTATATGCTGTTACTGGTATTGATACTGATCCACTCAAATCAATGATTACATGAACTTACTTTATAATGTATTTTTTTTTAAAAAACTTTTTTACAATGCCAGATATAGCAATTGTCACATCATTGAGGGATGGAATGAATCTTGTTAGTTATGAGTTTGTTGCATGCCAAGATGCTAAAAGAGGGGTGCTGATTTTAAGTGAGGTAAGTATTGCCTATTGCTATTATAAAATTATTCTAGAATAGATTTTATTTAATTAATATTTGTTATCAAAGATTTTATATAAAATTTCTTTTGGTGTACATATAGTTTGCAGGTGCTGCACAATCCCTTGGTGCTGGGGCTATTCTTGTTAACCCTTGGAACATAACTGAAGTTGCAGCTTCAATAGGCCAAGCTTTGAATATGACACCTGAAGAAAGAGAGAAACGTCATCGCCATAATTTTTTACATGTCACAACTCATACAGCTCAAGAATGGGCAGAAACTTTTGTAAGGTATTTACTTCAATTAAATTAAATCCCCTTCTCTTTCCCCATCTGTGGGCCCCGTTTTGTTTTGTCATACAGGACAAAACAGAACAGAACATGACAGTCTTGTACTGTGTCTCTGACATGCATTGGGCTTTGGGCCTAGGACTATTGTGAATGAGACAAAAATTGTAACTTTTTGGCCTACCCAAAAAGACGAAACAAAATGGGACAGGGATGCACTCTCGATCTCTCGTTTGTGTAAAAGACGGAAATGCCCTCCTCATTCTCATCATTAAAAATAGTTGTACAAAAGTCAGGTCTTGTTGTATCCAAGTTCTATCCCATGTAACAAATGCAGCCGTGATTGGACTGGAATAAACCAGACAATCTTTCTAGGGCTATTTTTGATGATTAAGATGAGGAGGGCGTTTACGTCTTTTGCACAAATGAGAGATCGAGAGTGCATCTCTGTGCCATTTTGTTTCGCCTTTTTGGGTAGGCAAAAGTTGCAATTTTTGTTTCATTCACAATAGTCCTGGGCTCAGAGTCCAATGCATGTCAGAGACACAGTACAATATTGTCATGTTCTATTCTGTTCTATCGTGTATAACAAAAAAGAGCTTAAAGTAACATGTTTGCTTATTAGCAGAGTTTAAGGTTTAATTTGTTATTGTAGCGAACTGAATGATACTGTAGTTGAAGCACAACAAAGAATAAGACAAGTTCCACCACTACTTCCGGTTGAAGAGGCGATCGAGTGCTATTTACAATCAAGTAACCGTTTGGTCATACTGGTATTGCCTCCAAATCTTAAAAAAAAAAAAAATCCAAACACTTGAATTATCTCATAACAATTTTTCTCATGTTCTACAATAATATGAAAATCCACAGGGATTCAGTGCTACATTAACCGAACCAGTTGATACTCCTGATAGGCGTGGAGGCGATCAGATCAGAGAAATGGATCTAAAATTGCATCCTGAATTAAAAGAATCACTAATAAAACTTTGCAATGATCAAAATACAACGGTTGTTGTCTTGAGTGGAAGCGATCGAACCGTATTGGATGAAGTAATATAATAAAAACCGAATTCATTTTTATGTTTTTGAACATGTTATTTTTGACAACTCTGAGGTTTTTTTTTTTTCTTAATTTTTCAGAACTTTGGTGAGTTCAACATGTGGTTGGCTGCTGAGAACGGAATGTTTCTGCGGTCTACTAGAGGAAGCTGGATGACAACAATGCCCGAACATTCAAATATGGAATGGGTCGACAGTGTCAAGGTTATTTTCGTCTTTTTAACATTTGTCTTCCTAGCGTCCCTTTTTGCTACATTACGGTTATTTTTTTATGAGTCGTGGTCCCATTTCAATATATGCCAAACACAGTACAAAAATATCCTGTCTTGTCTTGTCATGTCCTATCCTGACTTTACTGTCTTGTCATGTCCTGTTCTGACTTTACTGTCTTGTCATGTCCTGTTTTGTCCTGACTTTACTGTGTAATCTTTTATGGCAGCATGTGTTTGAGTATTTTACGGAACGAACACCTCGATCACATTTCGAGCTTCGTGAGACATCACTGGTATGGAATTACAAATACGCAGGTATTTTTACGAAAATTCCCACTATCCAAGTTTAGATAAGCCTTCATTAGTATTGTGTTTTCTTTTGTTTTGCTCGTTGTCATGGCAATGGGAAATGCAGATGTTGAATTTGGGAGGCTTCAAGCACGTGACATGCTCCAACATCTGTGGACGGGCCCCATATCCAATGCTTCCGTGGATGTTGTACAAGGTAGCCGCTCTGTAGAGGTCCGAGCAGCCGGTGTAACTAAGGTTTGACTTTTGACTTTTTGACTTTTTTTTTGGTGATTGTGTGATTACAATAGCAATGTTAGTATGTGTATTAGTTTATTATAACATCATATTTTGGAAAATAAGTCTACCCGATTATAGCAAGTATCATCCAAACACAATTCAAGTTTCACTGCTAAAATTATCGAGTAGATTTTTCAAAGTACAATGTCATAATATAAAAGGGAAAGTAGAATGCTATAATTTGGTGGATTGTTTGAGTTACATTGTTATAATGAGAAAAAAGCTGAATGTATATTGTTGTAATAAGAAAAAATATTGAATGTGTACTGATGTAATCAAAAGAAATGAAAGTAATATGTTTTAAACAAAAGTGATAGTAAAGTACAATGCTATAATTGCGTAGATTTTTCAAAGTACGTTGTTTTAATTAGAAAAAAAAAATTAATGAATAATGTTGTAAATTGTAATAGAAAGAAATGAACATAAGATGCTATAATAAACAAATAAATGAAAGTAAAGTACTATGCTATAATAAATTAGATTTTTCAAAGTACATTGTTATAAAAAAAAAAAAAAAAAAACGTAAGTATAATGTTGTAATAGAAAGAAATGAAAGTAAAGTATAATTCTATGATTGGTTGCTTTTTTAAAATACAGTCTTAATAAGAACAAATAAATAAAAGTACATTGCTATTTCGTATATTTAGCCCTTTATATAATTGGATATTATTCTAATCCATTGGATCAATCTTCTTTTACAGGGTATCACAATTGTTCGTATATTAGGGGAGATAGTTCATAGCAAATCCATTTCATCCCCAATTGATTATGTCCTATGCATTGGCCATTTTCTTGGAAAGGTATGTACCCAATTCTTTAAAAAATCTATCCAATTACAACATTCCACTTTACAAAGTATAATGTTATCATAGGAAGAAATGAAAAAGCAAACAAATTGTAATTTTTTTGTATCTTTGCAGGATGAAGATATATACACCTTTTTTGAGCCAGAGTTACCCTCTAATAGCATGGGTATTCCTAGACCGAAGCAAAGTGATGCTACAAAGCCTCAGGGAAAAAGCGGGTCATCAAAATCTTCTCAAAAACAGAGTCACCAACACCAACGACCTTTTGATAATAAGCGGATGAATAATAATAATAATAATAATAATAATAATAATAATAATAGAAATCATCATGTGTCAGAGAATGGTGGGAAACGATCCTCCGCATCGCCGGATAAGGTATCGTGGAATGTTCTTGATCTAAAAGCGGATAATTATTTCTCGTGTTCCGTGGGAAGGACACATACAAATGCTCGGTATCTGCTTCCAACATCGGATGATGTGGTGTCGTTTCTTAAGGACCTTGCTCAAGCTACTTGAATATTATTATTTATAGGAGTTTTGTTTTGGTATCTTATTGTTAGAGTTAGTTCTATTAAAAAAAAAAAAAAAAAAAAAAAAAAAAAGAAACCCAATAGGGTCACAACTTTGTCTCATGAGCATATGTTAGACGTGAATTAGATACATTTGGGTCAATGCACACAAGTAGCTCACTCCACCTTAAAATAAAAGCTCTTGTACTTTGGTTGTTCGATTCATATTTTTGATTTTTTATGCAAATATAACAAACTATGCTAATAAAGGGGGTTTATTATTCAAAGGAAAGTATAATTTCCTTCTACGATTGACATGTGTAATGTACTTTTTTTTTTCTCATCTCTCTCCTTTGATTTTGATACTACTTGTCATGATCTGGTGAGTAGGAGGATATTGAATCTTTTTTATTCAATTTTTTTTCAAAAGAGTTTTTATTCAAATATTGAGTTCAAATATTAATGCATCTGAACAATGTGACATAAATATTCGTTGAATTTTTGTTAAATGTTGTTTTTTATGATGTGCATATGTGCACAACATTATATGCATATGTACATATAACAAAAAAACATCTTTTATGATAATTTCTACATTCTGGCTTATATATGTTTGTCTAGATGCATTAAGTTATTTTCTTGAAAAAGTTATTAAGAAAAAAAAAATTAGGTTCTTATGAAAACTATGAGTTCTTAAAACTAATTGATTTTTTTTGTGAAATTTAGTATTATTTATCTATAGTGTTATGTACCAATTAATATTTGATCAATATAAAAAATAATTTCCCCCTTTCTACTACAACTTCTTGATATCACATAGTTTTAAACACATAACAAACGATATATAAATATCTTAACACTTTCAAATTATGAAAACATATTTGATTTGTTTTTATGGAACATGTATTCGATAATGTTCACCTCAATGTAAGCTAAGCTATTCTACCTTTTTCGCATCTTATACTTTCATTTCACACCGTACTTCACATATTAACATCACCAATCTTTGGTTACAAAATGATTATAATACCCATAGGACATTTGTAAAACTCATTTTAATGCTTTAATAGCCTATTTACACTTATATAGGAGTTTTAGAAGTATTGGAATGCTAAACGAGTTATCAAAGTCAAAGTAGCATTCCACATTAGAGTAGACGATTGTGTTTTGCATAGGAAAAATATTACACGGCCATGTATTATACAACATTACACATATGACGAATTTCTTTCTTTTTAGGCTATTTTCTTTATCATCGATGCTTCCTTTCTTCACCAAACTTCACTATAAGGTCCTAATGACCTAAATAAGTGTTATTGGCATTATTTTATCTCAATTAAGTATTTCTGTACTTGTGTCTTAATGGTTAAGACCTTTAGATGTTATAAGAGCTAAAGGAAAGCTTATGTTGACATCTAAACATCCTAGCTAGACATTAAGCTCTTAATAACTCTTGACTCCAATCAACAAACATTCTAATTTAATCATTTGAATCTTAATTTACTTTTAGAACATCTTAATACTCATCGGAGTGATCTAGTCCATGGATTCTAGGAGTTGGAATTGATCATTATAATGCAACTCTTTTTCTACCATCTTACTAGTTGCTAGCTTCATTCTTTTTTCATATGTGATTGGTTGTTAAAAAAAAAATCGGTCATCTTTTTCACATTCTAAATAAAATGATCATACTATTGCAAAATAGCAAACTTGTTTTTGAATGGTTCCACCACAAAAAACTTAAAAAAGTTCGTAAAGATTCGTAATGTCGTAATCAATACCTTATTTGAAGTTTTTAGTTTTTACGAAGGTTTTTACCATCAAAAGAACAATTTCACAAATCAAGAACCATTACAAATTGAAATTATTTTGTTTAAAGTATAAAAAAAGATGATCATTTTCTTAAAATAAGCCGTCTATTTTGGTCTATCTATATATTAAAAGATTAAGCATTAATATGAGACGATTGCCAGCTATTTCTGTGGTGCTGTAAGAATATTTATATCTTCATGTGGAAGATCGATGGCGAGGTGGAAGGTATGATTGAGGGCGTAGTGATAATTAATAATCATAAGATGGGATCTTGTTTTTGGGTTCGTGTCAATTGTACATTTAATCACCAAAGTTCATCCAACGTTACAAGAATATATAAATAGTATTAACAAGAAAAAGAGCTTTAAACATGATGGATTTGTTGTTAAGATCATGGATCTTGTATGCTTTATTTTGTACATTCTTGAAATAAATATTATATTTTTTGGTCCATAAAAACTTTTAGTAATAAGTATTTTGGATACCGGATCAGTTGATCATTTTTTTTTGTTGATTGTCGGTATAAGTTGGTATATATTTTATGTTTTTGTGTTTCATAAAATTAATTGTCCGCTTCTTTATTAGTTATATAAATTAGAAAGCGTTATATTTTTTTAAGACAATAATGTTTATGAAAATTATGGAAAATGTGTTAGAGAATGTTAGTGATAAAGCCCATTTTTTTCGGAGGCAATAAGCTATTGTTGCTTATTAAACACTATGTGTGAAACCCGTGTATTAGACGGGTTTATTAAAAAAATATTGTTTTTGATATTATCAATGTAATTGAAGACAAAGATACATTTGGAAATAAATTATTTATTGATATTGGTAAATGTTTCACTCATAAAATTAAAAATCATTTTGCAACAGTTAAACAAAATGGATAAAAACATGAAATATATAAGCACTTGAATATAATTGTGTTTGATAGAAAACTATTTTCATTGTTCTGGATTTTTGGAATTCATTTGTTTTTCGGTTACAATTTGTATGGTTATTGATTTTGTTTGGTTTTGGGAATGACTTTTTTAACTTGGAAAAATTGATGGATGATTGTTTGGTATAATCGATAGATTCTCCATATAAGTCAAACCACATTCCTTTCCATCGATTCTAATCAAATCTCTCCCTAAAACCTCTCGCCACATATCTTTGAATGAATTATAATCAACAAATTCTCCATATAAATATGTTACTTGAACAACCACCCAAATAATTTTGAAATAATTAATTTGGGTAGGAATATTTGTAAAAAAATTGCATTGAACTCAAACACTATCTATTTATTACTAAACTTTTGAATGTCAAATGAGTTGATTTTACTTCAAAACATGACAAAGTTATTATGGGCAACAATTTACAACTTATTAGAGTTGGATCTTCTAGATGAGTCAGAAAAATGAATTTATTAAGTATTGGCATTTCAGTCATTAAAAAAATGAAGTCTTTTTGAGATGGAGGAAGTAGAAATTAATAAAAGTATATAGTTTTGAGGATAATAAGGCATCTACACAACCACATGTTTCATGATTGCCGGTATAACTTTCTAATCTTTTCATGCAATTGTGTACTTGAAGATTCATTTGCTATAAATGCAACATCATTGATAAATAAGACCATACTTCAGATGGACTGTGAATATTATTGGCATAATTCATGTCTTAATGAAGGGAAAGGTTTAACCCCCCAAAAAAACACTTTGCAAATTCATATGACATTTAACTGCACGAAGCCTGAAATGAATACCAGGTTTTGAAATGAAGTACCTGCACAAAACCACCTGAATGAAAACCATACAGTTGCACCAAAAGCCAAAAAACACAAATTTTTTACAAACAAATATGAAACCAAATAGATCAGTTATCAAAAAAATCCCAAAAGAAAGGATTAAATTGTTATTGTGTGAGAGTAGACGGAAATGCCCATCTACCGTTGGCATCAAAAAATTAACAAAAAGACTTTATTTTTATAAAATAATGAAATTAGAATCAGTTTAAAAACACATCCAATTGTAATAAGTGTGTTTGAAAATTGAATATGATATTGAAAGTTTTAAAATAATAGGATAAGACAAAATATTAGTATAGGTTGAGTTTACTTGCAATGAAAGGAAAAAATTCAATCCAAAAATATGTATGTAACCTGTAATAGCAACATACTTACCTTTTTACACTTGTAAAAGAGATGCATGTTCTTTGATTTTCATGTAGTATGTGCTAGTTAGATGTATGTAAATAAGACATACAAATGATTTATACGTTTAGTTCTTAAATTGAAATAGGGAAATTTCAAAATCGAAATAAGAACAAACACATATAAATTAATGAAGTAGCAGCCACCTGATGGCCTGATACCTCTCAACAGGCGCGAATCTTGTTTTCAACAAACAAATAGTATGTTTGACAAATATACCCAAAACAGAACCAAGAGGGAAAAAAACACCAGACTTTGAGAAAAAATGGAGTTTATGTTATGTTAGTATTACCAATGTAAGAAAAGCATGAAAATTCTATTATCATTCTTTTAATAAATTCTAAACTACAAAATATATAATAAAGTGATAACTTATAAAATTTCATCCATAGCATCCGGATTCAACAAAAAATATACATAGAAATAGCATATCGAACGACACATTTTTTAAGAGTATTCAAAACAACATACCGGTAGGGAAATTTGCAAAAAATCGAGCCTGAGAAATCAAAATCCTATTTATGATCTAAAGCGAATCAAATGATTAACACCACAAATTGTTTGCATAGCACTTTCTGGTGTTATTATACACTTATATATTTGAAACTAAACATAATAAAAATGAATAAATAGTGGAATGAAACAAAAACACAACCAAAGTTACATAAGAGTTGTGAAAAGGGCATAAAGAGAAATAGCAGCAGCAAGGGGGCATATCGGGAAAATAAATACATATACACAGATGTTGTTCAATCCTCATTCATCATGTTTATAGTAAGGACATTTAAATAAATTGAACCAAGCAACTTAACGATTAATAAGGATTAATCAACACTTTACAATGACTCAACCAACAGGGAAATTTCAAAATTGAAATAAGAACAAACAGATATAAATTAATCAAATATTAGCCACCTGATGGTTAATATTAAACAGAAATAGCAGCAGTAGCACGCGACAACAGTGGCAGGGGTAGGGGTATATCAGGTAAATCGAACATATACAAAGATTGTCAAACGTGCATAACATCAGTTTTATACATTTTCAATTGACTTTAACAGTCAATATCAATAACATTGATCATAGATACATACATACATACAACAACAAAATTATGAGAAGATAGATATTATAGGGTTTTTTTTGTCTCTTAAGCAATTTATCAATAACACATGCATGCAGTGCAACATATGGCATATTAGCAAAGTAGAAGTAAACATGTATTTGTAGTTCTACTGTACACAACTTACTGAACAATTAGTTTGTCAATATGATTATACGACGCCATGTATAAGAAGAAATAATTAAAAAAATAAATCTGGAAGGAGAATTCATTGAAGTATAATCGTAATGGTATTCTGAATAAAAGCACGAAAATGGTGACAATAAGATGCATAGTAGCAATCGTATTTAAAGGGAAGTCTTAATATAGAAATCCATTATCTTCCTAAAATATTAAAATTGTAGGTGTGAAAAAAATCATTGACTTTTTTAGCCTATAACTTCAGCAAGAATTCAATTCTCTGTCAACGGGCCGTGAGTACTTTTATGGTAAGTTGAAATACCATAAAAGAATAACACCATAAATAAAAGAAATAATTAAGAAAGGATATGGGATTATATGATGAAATGCCTAATACCAGCAAAAGAAACAGAAATATTAAAGGAGAAATTGACATCTGGAATTTTTTTTAATATAAAAAAACAACAAAATTACATGTGTCATATTGAAAGAGAAACTGACAAGTGGCAAAATCATTTTGATTTATTACGAAGGATTTATAATTATGGTAATTTATTGAATAATACAAAGCCTTTATATCTAAACAGAAGACCACTAAAACTGTAAAACATCTCTAAACAAATCCGTGCAAATTGATAGTTCTACTTGTACAAATTATATTTTTGGAAGGAAAAAAATAATGATAGCAAGCTAGAACCTGGAATTGAAAGGGAAAGGTGTAGTTTTTGCTTGAAGCTGGGAAATATAATTTTTAGACAAAATTGCAAGAATGGTCATGTGGCGTCGAAATTGTTATTTTGGGCCACATAGGTTTAGACTAGCACTTATGGTCCAAATGTTTTCATTTTCTTGCCACTTTTTTAAACTTTTTTTGTAATGACGATTTTGTCCTTGGATTTTATTTTTTTCAGTTTTTTATTTATTTAAATACTTTTATAATTAAAAGAAAAATAAAAAAATACATATATCTCTCCCTCCCTCCCTCCCTCCCTCTCTCCACTGTGTCTTATTCTCTATTGTGTCTTCTTCTCCACCCAAAAAATGCTTTTCATCCTATTCATCTTCAAAATAATTTCTTTTTTTAAACCCAAACATAAAATCTAGAGCTTGAAGCACCGATTTCGTAAAAGAATCCTAGTAATTACTTCTCAAACCCTCCTCAACGAACTTAAATCCCCAAATCAAAACCAGAAATTGAAGTGGAAACAGGGAATGACCATCGATTTAATCACTGAAGATGGAGCATCGATTTAATGGAGGTGGCGGAGCAAATCAAGCGCTTGAGGTTGAACGAGATGAAGAACAGGCAGAGGAAATCACGTACCTATCATCTCCTTCATGGAGAACCCAAAATCTGGGTTCATTCTTGGATCTACACAACTGGTATCCCCAATCGACGACTTTTAACCATATGAATAATGGTTTTAACCCCATTGCATACAACCACGATGTTGATGGGTTCGTTTCTTTTATTTACGTTGATGCAGGGAAGAGGGATCTGTCAAAGGTGTGACCAAGTTTTCCAGGTAGAGATGGATATGAAGACTGAAAGAGGGATTGTTGTCCAAACGCAAGATTGATTCTACTCATCAACGTCATTTCCTTCGAGGGAACAATTAAAACAACATTGACATACCTCGTGTTCTTCAGATTTGGAATATTGAAGAAGAAAGGAGTCGTCAGAGTTTTGAGGTTGGTGATGTATCAGAACCATAAAGTTTCTGATAGAGAACGAGATGAGAGTTAGAGTTTTAGGTGTCGGAAGATGTGCAGTGGTGGCTGAAGAGGGGGTGGCGGGGATGAGATGCGTCAGTGAAGGTGAAGTTAGGGTTCCGACAATATGGTTATGACGGCCGACTCCGGTGGTTTGGGTGGTGTTTGTCAAGTAAGGAAAAAAAAGGACGATAAATGGTTTTGAGAGAGAGAGAGAGAGAGAGGCAGGGAGAGAGATGTTTTTTATTTTTCTTTTATTTATAAAAATATTTAAATAAATAAAAAACTGATAAAAATAAAATCTAAGGGCAAAATTATCATTACAAAAAAAGTTTAAAGTAAATTGGACCAAAGTGGCAAAAAAATGAAAACCTTTGGACCATGAGAGCTAGTGCAAACCTATTTTGCCCAAAGTAGCAATTTCGACCTAACCATAAGGACCATTCTTGCAATTTTGTCTAATTTTTAATTATGTAGAATTGTTTGTTAAAAGTAGTTACAATATAGGGTAGATTACACAAATGGTCCCTGTGGTTTGGGGTAATCTGCATGGTTGATCCCTAAAAAGTTTTTTTAACTCGTAAGGTCCCTATTGTTTGTTTTTGTTGCATATTTAGTCCCCGTTTGACCTAAAATGACTTTTTTACCCTTATTAGTTTCTTTTTTATTTACTTATCATATATTTTATAATTAAAAGAACAAAGAAAAAAAAACAAAACCCAGCACCGTACCC